TCTCTCAATCTCTCTCTCTCTCTCTCTCTCTCTCTCTCACACACACACACACACACACACACACACACACACACGAGTGCCCTTGTCTCTGTGAGCTGCAGCCTGGGAAAGAGAGATGCTGGGGAGGGGAGGGGAGACCCCTCACACCAGCCGGCTCTCCTGGCCTTGGGGGAGCACCTTCTGGTTCCCTGGTAGCCTCCTCCAGCCTGCAACTGTAGCTTAATCCGCTTGCAGTTATTTTGGGCATTGCCACCAGGGGAAGGTAGCTGGGGCGCTCTCTCCATGAGCCGGGGGGTCTGCGGAGTTAATGCTCCAGTTGGCTGGGTTCCCCTGACTGTTTTGGCCTTGCCTTTGCCAAGTCTTTTAATGAGCGCCATTATGGGGCGGAGTGAAGCAGGCAGGCAGAGGCTCAGGCCCCTCTTGGCTCCCCACAGGTCTGGCTCACGTGCCTCACAAGAGTACACAGCCAGGCACTTTGCTCAGAAAGCCCAGTTGCTATGGAAACAGTATGCAGTATTTTCTACTTTCTGAAGGGAAGCTCCCAAATGCCTGGATGCAGTAACTGCTTCATGTGAGGGCTGCATTTTCCTGGGTCTCTAGCATGGCAGATGAAGCTGGCCATCTCTCTGAGTGAGCTGGGCAACCAGGGATCCCCAGAGGCGAGGCCCCCAGCTGACTGCACGCCCCAGAGGCCTCTGTCCACCTGCCAGTGCCCAGTGCGCGGGGCCTGCGAATATGCCAGGGCTTTGGAATTCGAGCCTTGGTCTTGACGGTGTAGTGTGGGGCCAGGGAAGCGATGGCAGCGTTGGGGCAGGATTCAGGGGCCCTCCTTCCTGGGTGGGGCCCTTTTGTCTGGAAGCAGGGACATCCGTGGTTTCCCATCTGCCTCATGACAGCCTCTGGTCCTGCTTTTTCTTCCAGCCACTGCTCGGCCATGATGCTTCTGGGGTTTGGCCCCCGAAGGCTGGAGGGTGGGGAGGGGAGTAGGGGATGAGCCCCCGGTATGCACTCAGTGGGTGTCACTAGAGGCAGGAGAAGGAGCCATTTGTCCACTGCACGTCTAGGAAAGGTGGGGGATCCCCAACCTTCACAGTGACCCCCACAGAGACGTGAGGACACAGGGCCGCGTCAGGCGTCCTGGCTGGAGGCTGTGTCCTCAGCCACACTAGCCGCCCCTCACATTCAGCAGGCGCCACGTAAGCCCCACCTCCTCCCTCTCTGTCCTCTCTGACCTCTCTCCCCACCGCCTGCTCCAGCTGCCTCGCCCGCCCCTTAGAAACACCTGACCCTGCGGGAGCAGAAAGGCGGCTCTAACCTGGTGGCCTCACCTTGACCAGGCACTTCCTCTGGAGCAGGCCCTGGGGCTCTGGCTTGTAGCCCGTTGACTGTTCTGCTGTTGTGTGTGTGTGTGTGTGTGTGTGTGTGTGTGTGTGTATGTGTGTGTGTTTCAGCAGTTCTCACAAGCTTGCTTCTCTGGTTTTCTTGAAGAAGGAGCATAAGCCTGACCCCTTGCAGCCTCAACAGCTGTCTCAGTGGTGGCCCTCACCAGGGAAGTTGGGCAGATAAAGATCTTTATCCTGTACCAAGGGCTTTCAGGTCTTTGTCTCCTTTACTCCCCACAAAACCCCCCTCAGGACAAAGCCCTGTGGGGAGGCAGGCGAACTGTTCACCTTTCATGGGGAACCTGCGCAGGAGGGGCACTGCAGTGGGCATGCTGGATCCAGCCCCTGCAGGGGCCTCAGCGCCGGGTCCCACCGAATACAGATGTGGGTCCCCAGGGGCAGGGGGCACAGCTGGCAGGGTCAGAGGCCTGCCTTCCGAGTCAGCGACGTTCCTGAGGACCATGCACAGGACGGATGGATCCAGGTTGCTTGTTCCTCTGAGCAAGAGGCAGAGTCTGGCTCTTGGCTCGCCCTGTCCAGTGCTGCTCCTGGGAGCCCATTGGAAAGTCATAGCCACTGCTTTGAGCAGGGTGGGCAGGGGCACCTCCATTCTGTGTCTCACCCCATGGCGGCTGAGGCTGGGGCTGCTGGCCTGGTGAGGGATGTGCCCAGAGAGGCCCTCCCCAAGCAACAGCCCCTCTGATGGGACTCTCCTCTGCTCCCCGAGGCCCGGGCCACACCCCCCGACGAGTGCTAAACCAGGGGCCACAGGGGAGAGGACTTGAGGGGCACAGGAGGCTATGAGCCCCATCTCTACCAGACTGGACCTCTGGTGCTGAGAGATATGGGCCTGTCCTGGGTAACTTAGACCTGAACTGTGTCCCCACCCTCTTGCCACCCACCCCACCCCAGGATGAAGGGAGAAAGGAAACATGGCACAAAGAGGGCTAAGCAGGCAGTTAGTGGCAGAGGCCCAGTGAGGCGCTGGGCTCTGAGCTGGAGCTCCTCCCCTCCCCCCACACTGCCCCAGCTCCTGGGGGTGGGGGTGGGGTGGGAGTCTTTGGCACTGGCCTCTAACCTCACCCGGCTGTATCTGGACACCACGGAGGAGGGTTTGGATGGTGGGCACTGGAGGCAGAGACAAGCCTGGCACCTTGACAGCAGCTCACAGGGTGCAGGAGGGCCTGGGTTGGGGGGACAGGCGTAAAAAGGGTGAGCAAGGTCGCACGGGCCCAGTGCTGCAGGTGAAGCATGCTACTGAGATTATACACATCCGGCAACCACCTGCCCAGACACACGCGGTATGGCCTGGAGCTGGGTCTGCTTGGCTTGCTGCTGCTTGGCAGCCCTGCAGCTACTGTCCTGAGCCCAAGCCTGGCTCCCAGAGCAGGTTTTACCAGGAGCCTCCTGCCCCGGTCTCCCTGGCGGCAGCTGCTGCTGCCACAACCACGTTTCCCTCCTGGCAGAAGCATCCTGGCTTCTGGAAAGCCTCCTGACAGCCTGCCTGGCACTGCCAGCCGGGCCTGTGTGAGGCCATCGCTGCCTGGAAGACTGAGCTCTACTCAGCGTAGATCACAGGCCAGACGGAGACCGACCCGACGCTGTGGGCCTCCTGGAGCCCCTGTCCCCACCAGTCAGTGACTGCTCCCGCCGCGGCCCCCCTCCCACTGCCCCCATTCCCGTCCACCCTGTGGACTCCAGCCTTCAGGTGCATCTTGTCACTCCCCACCTCAAAAGCCTCCCTGGCTCCCCACTGCCCAGAGCACCCCGATTCCCACAGGTGACGAGGCCTGGCACAGTGACGAAGGCCATGTCTGTGCTTCCTCTTCTGTGTTTGAAAGAATACCCTGTGGTCACAGCTGGTCCCACGAAGGGGACTCAGCAGGGGAATTCCAGATGCGCCTGCTGAGCCTCTGCGTCATTTTGGGCCTCGTGGCGGGTCTCAGTCCCTGTGTACATGGCAGGAGGAGCTGGGAGAGCCCGCGGCTTCCTTTTCTTCCAGATAATTTCCCACGCACCCACCCGTCCTTCTCTCCCCTGACCCCAAGGCTCCCCCCAGGCCAGCAGGGTGAGGACTCACTTCGGAAAAGGGGTGGGAGGATTCCAGGGTTCAGGACCCCCACCTAACTGACCCTGCACTGCTGTCTGCAGGAGGAGCGGCCCCCCTACCACCGCCACAAGAAGGGGGGCTCCGTGGGCAGCGTGTGCTACCTGTCGATGGGCATGGTGGTGCTGCTCATGGGCCTGGTGTTCGCCTCCGTCTACATCTACAGATACTTCTTTCTCGCTCAGGTGAGGCTGGGTGGGAGGGGGAGCAGGCTCTCAGAGAAAGGGGAGCATTCAGAGAGGGAAGTGTGGGAGTTTGCAGCGGAGGTGGGAGCTAGCAGGAGAGGGCAGCGTGAGCAATTGAGAGCCAGGTGCTTGGGGTTTGTGAAGAGGGGGAGCAGGAAGTCCTGGGCATGCCCCCCAAGATGGGAGGAGTGCCCAGGCTAGCCCAGAAGGCCTGCCCCCTCGTCCTCCCTGGGGAGCCTCGCTCTGGTCCAGGAGCCAGGACTGGGGCCCATCCTCTGACGCCCACAGACACTGGACGAGGGTCCTTACCCGTTTCATCAGACACACCTGTGGTCAACAGGAAACTCTCCCAGCGGTACAGTCAGCAGTGGGGAAGCCGGGATTAGAACCTGGGCCCCCTGGGCCCGTGTGGCCTGAGGCCCCTTCCCACAGAGTCACCCTGGGCCGTTGTCACCAGAAACTCAGACCGAGCACAAATCAGAACTCTGATCCCTCAAACCCTGGGCCCAAGGGTCACGCTTTAAGGAATTCCCTCCCATTTTGTGTTTGGACGCAGGTTATGAAACGAGAAAGGTGGAGGGTGGGTTTACAGACCCACGCACACCATGCCCCCAGCTGGCCCACCCCCAGCGATCTGCTCCTGCAGCCAGTCTGGGCTTCAGCTAGGCCAGGAGAACTGTTCATGGTCACAGTGACCTTGTGATCAACCCAGCCCTGGGGAGGGAGGCAGTGCCCCCGAACTCAGAGAAGTAGGTAAGGTAAAGGTAGCTTGAAAGAAGACCTTAAGTACAACAAATGGGGAACCTCAGAGGGATGAAAAGGCTGCAAATTGCCAGTCATTTATGACCCCAGTGACCTCTCCCACCCTTAAGCATTGGCCTTCACCTTGGTCCTCACCCAGTTTTCCCACAAGGGAAATCGCTCAAGAGTTTCTGTTCCCTGGGACTTGCCCCTGGGAACCCGCTGACTTCCCCTTTTGTCCTCCCTCCCCTCCCCGCAAGGCCTGCTTCCTACCTTGCCCTGGTTTTCGCTTTCCTGTGCGGACCCCGGGGCCTTTTCCTGCTGTGGCCACAGCCCTCTCCTCCACCCACTCTGGCTTCTGGTCCCCTCTACTCCCAGCCCCACTCACACTCCAGGGTTCCTCACCCACCACAATTCCCAGGGACGGGGGCACCTCACAGTAGCCTCTGGTCTGTGCCCCGGGACCCTGTGATTCGGGCGTGCTGACTCACCCTGGAGCTTGCACGGAGACTGGAGGAAAGTCCTGCCCAGTTCAGGCCAGCTGTCCGGGCACCGATGGAGGAGGCCCTGGAGAATTACCCCTGGCCTCAGTCATGTCATAATGCCTCTGCCTCCCTTCCCTTATTTTTTTAAAATACATTTTTACTGATTTCAGAGAGGACGGAGAGGGAGAGAGATCAGTGATGAGAGAGAATCATTGATCGGTTGCCTCCTGCACGCCCCACACTGGGGATCAAGCCCACAACCCGGGCGAATCAAACCGTGACCTCCTGGTTCATAGGTCGACGCTCAATCACTGAGCCACGCTGGCCTGGCTCCCTTCCCTTATGATGGAGGGACGAGGCCGGCCACTCAGGGAAAACAGCGTTTGTCAAGGTTTCTCATGAAGCATGGGGCCCAGGGAAGGTGGGGGCTGGTGTGAGGTTGGACATGGAACTGGAATCACAAGGGCTGCCTCTCAGCTCCTCCCGCCCCCACTTTGCCCCCAGGTCTTCAGGACCCCACAGCAGGGGGCAGAAAAGATGGGTGAATGCCCTCTGGTGGCGGTGTAGGGCGCTGCATGCCCCCGGAGCCCAGCTTGTTCAGTTCAAGCTCCTGTGTTTGCCCCTGAGGACCCTCCTGCTCACCCCAGGCTCTTTCTCAGGTGTCTGTCCCTCTGGGTCCTCCCCGTGCTGGTCCACCCCATTTCCCAAGCACAGACTCATGGACCTGAAGCCAGAAGAAGCTTGAGGGAGCACCTCATTTTACAGATGTGGAAACTGAGGCCCAGAGAGGTCATCCACCCAGGAAATGGTTGGCCCAGCTCACCCTCCCTGACTCCCCACGTTTCTCAGTTTCTCCATCTGTGAAATGGGTCTCACAGTCCCACCCTTCCTGTGTCCTCAGGCCTTAAGAGAGTGAAGTGGGTGGGCAGGTGGCAGTGGCCGGGCCCAGGGCACTGCGTGACCAGTCTGTCTCTCTCCCCACCTTGCTCAGCTGGCCCGAGACAACTTCTTCCACTGCGGCGTCTTCTACGAGGACTCCCTGTCCTCCCAGGCCCGCACGCGGATGGAGCTGGAGGAGGACGTGAAGATTTACCTCGAAGATAACTACGAGCGCATCAACGTGCCGGTGCCCCAGTTTGGTGGCGGCGACCCTGCAGACATCATCCACGACTTCCAGCGGGTGAGGCCAGCCAGGGGCTGAGGCTGGGGCCGGGGCGGGAAGAGGGGCACCCAGGGGCCACAGCCCCCTTCCACCAAGAGTCATGAGGAAGAACAGGCGTGAAAGGAGAATGCTGACGGCCCTTGTACATGCTTTGACTATAGACAGAGTAATATCAGCTGTGTGTAGGGCATGACTACGGCTTAGCTTTGTTGAGGTTTTAAAGACATTGCTTTCATTATACCAGGTGCTAAAGTAAGTTTATAGTTGTGCGTATACAAAACACAAAGTTTTTGTATTATTATTTAGTGATTGTATTATTTTCATAAGAACAACTGAACCTACTTCTGCCCTCCCTGCATGGGTAACGTAGTTATCACTGAATGAACCAGCCACGGATTCTCCCCCCGCCACCTGGCAGCTGCAGACGCTGGCTTCGTGGGTCAGGATGTCCCTTTTTATCGCATATTCCTGTGCCCACGCTGATCGAGGTGCAGCACAAGGAGGGCCTGGGATCGGGGGTTTCTCCCCGAGGGTCCCCCGAGGTGGGCCTCCCAGCTTTGATGACATGCAGTCGGGACATCACTGTATTGCCCAGACCTCGGCTCTGTCACCCCATGAGAAGAGCCCTGTGGCACAGGCATTTAACACTTGGTGTCTTTCATCTAGTAAATGAAACACAGGCTGGGAGAGGAGCAGAAAAAAGGGGTGTATCCCCAGGGCGGGGGTGGGGTTTCTGCCTTTGCTAGCCAGAAGCCTCTCCCAGCCCCCTCCCCCCATGGGCCAGGCCCTCACCTGCAGGGACTGACTTGACCCCTCCTTCTCCCCAGGGTCTGACCGCCTACCATGACATCTCCCTGGACAAGTGCTATGTCATCGAGCTCAACACCACCATCGTGCTGCCCCCTCGCAACTTCTGGGAGCTCCTCATGAACGTGAAGGTGAGCGGTGGTTTTGGCCGTATCTTGTCCCTCCCTGTGGAGCCAGGCCTGGGGCAAGGGAGGTTCCATGTCCTCACTCCATGCCCCCGTCCATACCCCACTATATACCTCACTGCATACCCCAGTCCATGCCCCACTCCATGCCCCAGTCACAGTGCAGGGAGATGCGGAGGCCCTGCCCTTTGGGTGGGAGGCCAGACTCCCACACACGCAGAATTCAGGGCAGCGCAGGCGGCAGTACTTAGCACAGCAGAAGTGCCTGGGGCATTAGAAGGCCGCGCTGTGGAGCCTCTGAATGAGGGAGGGGGCATGTGTGCGTTTCAATGTTGGGGGACACAGCTCGAGTGAGCAGAAGGGTGGCGACAAGGGGAGTGGGCAGTGAGCTAGTGGAGACCACAGGAGGGGCCCTGTGTCCTGACCAGAGCTGTGGCCACTCCCCTTGCAGAGAGGTACCTACCTGCCACAGACGTACATCATCCAGGAGGAGATGGTGGTCACAGAGCACGTCAACGACAAGGAGACCCTGGGCTCCTTCATCTACCACCTGTGCAACGGGAAGGACACCTACCGGCTGCGGCGCCGGGCAACGCGGAGACGTGAGTGGCCCGCCCTGGGCTCCACACCAGGGCCGTCCCAGGCGTGCTGGCCCCCAGAGCTGGAGACCAGTGGTCAGACAGCTCAGAGAGCAGCAGCAATAAATGTTAATTGAGCACGTATTACACACCATGCATTTTACGGTCTTTATGTCCTTAAAGAGTATAAGTTACCATCATCATCATCATTATTGCTGCCCCTTTTAAAGGTGAGGAAACTGAGGCTCCGAGAAGTTAGTTAATACCAGCTCCTGAGCACTCAACATTTTACTGCACTGCCTCGGAGTGAACCTGGGTTTGGTTTCCTGGGCCTTCTCCTCCCACCCCCACCCCCCTCTGGTCCCCTCAGGCTCTGAGGCTGGTGGCTTTCTAGCCCAGCCAGTTCTGGGCCAGGGCACGTCCTCACTGGGATTTCTCTGTTCCCTGCAGGAATCAACAAGCGTGGGGCCAAGAACTGCAACGCCATCCGCCACTTCGAGAACACCTTCGTGGTGGAGACGCTCATCTGCGGGGTGGTGTGAAGGCCTCCCCGCCCTCCCGGTCCCACCCCTGCCTCTCCTCTTTTCTCTTCCTGTCACTCTCTGGCCTTCCTTCTTCCCCTCTCTTAGCTTGTACTTTGGACGCCATTCCATAGATGTGACGTGCCCCCCCCCCCCTTCCCATCAAGCCCTGCCCTCTCCCTGTCCCAGAACCATGACCTCTCAAGGCCCCCACCTCCGCTGACGTCCCGGGCCTGGGGGACAGAGAGGGCGCCCTGAAATGGTGTCTGTGACCACCATCTTAAAGTGGGGTCCTCTGGGGAGGACTGGATGGAGGGGCTGGGCACGTGGGGGTCCTGGGCTAGGGGATAGGGTGTGGGGAGGGGTGTGGAGTGGGGTTCAGAAATGTCTGCACAGTTGGGAAAGTCCTGAAGGCTTTTTTCTTGGATGGCACACTTCCTCCTGTGTCCCAGCTCCCGGGACTGGGCTGAGGATGGGGGACTGTGCCAGGGAGGGACCCACCAGAGCACAAGGGAAGGTGATTGTCAGTGCCTTCAGCCCACCAGAGGGAGCCTGGAGCCTGGGGGTGGGACTGAGTTTGTCAAGCACAATCGTTCTCTGAGTGGAACCAAAGAGGGAGGAGCCAGGGCCCCCAGCACTGGCCCCCCAGGAGCATGGTAGGGTCCCACAGCCAGAGCCACGCTGGAACAGGGCAGAGGAGGGTCGCTTCTCCCCCTGTCGCTGTGGGGCTGAGCACAGCACTGATGCGCCAAGTGGGTGGGGGCTCCTAGCTTCCTCCAAGCTTAGAGCTGTTGTAGAAGATCATGTGGAGGGGAGGGAGAGCCACCTGGTACCTGCACACCCTGCCTCCTTTGTTCTGAAATCCGTCCTCCTCTGCTTTGGGGGAATGCACCCTTTTTCCTTTTCCTCCTCACTTTTGCATGTTTTACTGATCATTCCTTATGCTAACCCCTCTGAGCCCTGAGCCTTGAAGAGGAGGCTTCAACGCCTCCAGTCAGGCTTGGGTGCTCCCTGGAGATGAAACTCTTAAACGCTTTGTATATTTTCTCACTTAGATTTCTTTTCAGAAGTGTCTGTAGAACAATAAAAATCTTTGACTTCTGACTTTGACTTGAAAGTGGCAGGTGGGGGT